CCTCAGATTGTGAGTCGAGCGCCTTATCCACCTGGCCATGCCGGGCATCAAGCTTTTAATGTAATTACAAATGTGTGTTTAAAATTGATTAACAAATACACGTAATAAACTTCGTAGTGCTGAATGGACTGATTGTGTAATATGTACAAAAAAAACAACATAATTTTCTTCTCTTACCTTAAACATAAATATGGTTAAAATGCGAAAATTATGTGCATTATTTTAGTTATTAACAACTGGAACAAAGCATCACCTTTGTTCAAAACTCTAAGTTTGTTTGTTTGTAATTAAGCACAAAGCTACACAATGGGCTATCTGTGCTCTGCCCACCACGGGTATCGAAACCCGGATTCTAGCGTTGTAAGTCCGTAGACATACCGCTGTGCCACAAAACTCTAAGTGAAAAGAAACTTATAAAACCCTTGATTTCCTTATTTGAACTTAAAAAATAAAAGTTATTTTAAAATTCTATTTTACGTTCCAAGATAGTGTTTGTGTGAATTCTGATATAATTTGAAAAAAAAAAAGTAAATAAACAAAAAACGTGTCTTGTTTAGCAAGGATTTCCCTTAATGAAATTGCAATCTTCCAATTGTCTGCTTTTCGAGATCGACTAACCATTAGATAAAGTTCTTATCAAAGTAGTTAAAAATCACGACTGAAGCCGTCGCATCACGACCTTCCTATACGGCAGGCCTGAGATTTCTACCGCAAGAGGGTGCTGAACCGCTACGTGGCCCATGATTTGAAACAAGCTGCAAATGGAGGAGGGCTAGAGCGTGTTCTGACCATTAGTTACATAGCGTAAACGTGCCACCAATGAGCTATATTATGCAGTTTCGTTAGAGCTGGTCATCACGCTTCATGAGTTGTAGACAGAATCAACTTTATGTAAAAACTAAAAAAAAAAAAATCGCTCTAACACAGAAAGGCATGTCGTATTCACGGAATATAATCACGTGTATCATAACGAAAATTATAATACTTCATTGTTCATATATAAAATTAACAGCGTGCTCCAATTGTGCGCAACTTAGATTTTTATCAAATCTTTCGTTCCAAATTGTTTGGAACCATAAAAAGAAAACAAGAGCTGACCTTAGCTGATCGTGAAATATAACCATTTTTTTATTTGATACCGTACAAAAGTTTCAGGTTAGTTTCGTTTCTTTATTTGTTGTTAAGCACAAAGCTATACAATGGGCTAGCTGTGCTCTGCCCACCGCGAGTACCGAAACCACGATTTTTAGCGTTAAAAGCCCTCAGACTTACCGTTGAATCACCGGGGGGTAGAGGCAAGGCGTTTCAAGTTGAGCTTGTATACATTTTTATTTAAATAACTAGTATAAATGTCCGTCAAAAATGACGGAAAACCATTGTCGAATGATTAACGAAAATTATAGAATATAACTAAAACGAATTTGTCTGTACCTTCAAAATGGACCTGCTCTTGAAGTAATTTTTTAATCACCACATTTTTAGTAAAAACTACGCAGAAAAATGAAATGTTATCGTGAATAAAAGTACATGTGCACTCAGAAAGAGACTTAAAAAGCACTATTGAGCCTTTTCACTGTATTCTAGGTCAGGAAGTAGAAAACATAGTGCGAATATTTCGACACAAATTTTCAACTCTTTCGACCGTACAAATGATAAAAGATATTTGGTAGTAATAAACGTTTATTTTTCTTTAAGGCTAAATATATATAACATATGTGTTAAAATACCAAAAGAATATTTATTAATTAACATTCATTCACCACTTAAAACGTTTTAAACACCGACTCTATAACGTTAGTAATAGTAGACCTATTTATAGTCTAATCTAATACATAAACGTAACGCAAGGCTTAGCTGAAACACTACTTGGTAAATATTATTTTGCTTTTGGCTGCAACTCAATGTCATAAAACTTCTGAATTAAACGATTTTGCTGTTATATCACCGAAGTTATCAAAAAATAAAAAACAGATCAACATGAATATTAAGCATTCAACATAAACGCCACAGTTGGCCTAAGAACAATCAGGTGAGGATTTGTTGTTAAGCGACGATGTATATTGTTGAGCATTACCAAAAAAAAAGGTGTGTAAAAGCGTTCTCAAGAGAGTGACAAAGGGAATAAACCTTTTATAGTAAGTGATATTGTTATATCGAATCACTAAAATCATTAAATAACACAATCATTGACTAAAAAAAAGTGATAAAAGTAAACATCTGTTAAATCGATTAAGAGTTAACTTTATTCTTCCAGAATGTTCTTGTAACAATAATTTAATAATTCCTATAAGTATTTTAGGTCCTAAGAACCACAACACGACTTTCAAGTAATGCAAAACAATTCATTAAGTACTTTCCGAAATTGCCTGGCGCGGTTAGGGCACTCGGCTTGCAATCTGTGGGTGCAGGTTCGATTCTCATCACATGTTAACCCTTTCAGCCACGGAGGCGTTATAATGTGACGGTTAATCCCACTACTCGATTATAGTAGCCCAAGCTTTGGCGGTGGGTGGTTGACTAGCTGCCATTCCTCTAGTTTAATTCAAAATGATGGACGGCTATCGCTGTTAGCCCTCTAGTAGCTTTGCGTAAAATTCAACAAATAAACAAATTTCCATAAATTATGAGAATCGGATCACGTAGGAGTTAATGCATTCACTACTAGCTTGATAGTAGGCTCCTAATATCTTGTTCTCCAATCAATACAGTTACATGTAAATATAATTTACGAATACTTAGATGAAAGTTTCGTAGAACTATTTTGCAGGGTCGTCTAACTAAGATGTCTATTTCGGTATCTTATCAGTGTTGAGACGTTCATATGAGGTTTTTATTTAAAACTTTTGTTTCATGCAAGTAAGTACATTAAAATGTTACTAAAAAATAGAATGTTCGCTTAAAACTCTGACCAAAATAAGTTATTCTTTTTTTTCAACCAATTATTGCCATTTCTTCGAAAGTAAAATACTCATAAATTTTCAAAAAATCACAAAAAGATTAAAACATTACAAGATATAATTTCATTTTAAAATCATAGCACAATTCTTACAGACAAGGAAAATTAAACCAGAAGAAAAAAAAAACAACAGAATACTTACTCTGACAGTTGCATTTCTCAGAGGCTTGTCTGGATCCGGAATATATTCTAATGTGATGCCGTAGAACTGCCCTAGTAACGAGAATGAAACTTAAATATCCATATCATGTAAATCATTATAGCTACTGTGATACGTCATGGTTACCTAGTTCGTGTAATATTTATGTCGTTAGGATATAGTAGACGTTAAAGATCTAATGCTCGTATGAACTATAATAACCTTATCATTTCGCACAACTAAAGGGCAGAAAATGTTCTTTAAAAGCTGTGTTAAAATGTATAAAATGTTAAAACTTAAATAAAAATGTGTATAAAAAGGCAATAAGTAGATTCTTTATTTTATAAAATATTTACTGACCGGGCATCATTTTCCTGATATTTGCCTAAAACAATTTGTTCAAGCACAACTTATGGCAAAACGTTATTTATGCGTGT